GAGTGCGCTGCCAGCCGAAGATGATGAGTCTGTCATTGATGGCGTCGTTCCACAGATATGGGGACTGTGACAGACCGTACAGATTTTTCTCCATATTGTAGACCATCATTTCACCTGTCGTGGGGTCCCTCTCCTTGTCGCCTGGCGCCGGCCTGACGTAGACGTCTATGTCGGTGTACGTGCTCGGAGTTTTGATCTCTTGGTTTGTCTCCCCCAAGAACCCTTTGCTCGAGGTGCCCGTGGCGTANCTTTCTTAAAGACTTTGTGCTTGGCGAGATTACCCATCTCGGTGTCGATAGCGCTCTTCCACTGCTCGCGTTGTGGTGAGTTCATGGCTTCGGTGTACGTGCTCGGAGTTTTGATCTCTTGGTTTGTCTCCCCCAAGAACCCTTTGCTCGAGGTGCCTGTGGCGTAAGCATACGCCCGGAGTTCGGCGAACGGGTCTTCATCCAGGCGAGCAAAATCCGCCGCGTCGGTAGGGCATCGTTGCTGCGCTTGGTGGGTGAGATCGAGTAGTTGATCCTCGGTGAGCTCCAGTGGGTCGGGGTGGCTGACAGCCATGGTAGAGCGGCCTCTGTCGTTCATGTTCACTTCCAGATATTTCGGGATGCATGAAGGGTCGATAGGGTTATCTGTGAGTTGTTGAGTGCGCGTGGCAGGACGGGTCACCGTTAATCGACGCATTGGGATCGGGGCTGGCGAAGCGGAGTCCGTGTCTGTTGGCGTCGTGGGTGATTCGAGTGTCGTGTCCTGCGATGTCCTGGATGGTGTCGTAGTCCGCGGGTTGTTGTTGCTGTCAGCTCCCCCAGCAGCAAAGTAGTTGTCGGAATCCATGCCCGCGTTGTTTTGGCGAAGTTCTGCTCGGNGAAGCGGAGTCCGTGTCTGTTGGCGTCGTGGGTGATTCGAGTGTCGTGTCCTGCGATGTCCTGGATGGTGTCGTTGTCCACGAGTTGTTATTGCTGTCAACTCCCGCAGCAGCAACGTAGTCGTCGGGATCCGTGCCCGCATTGTTTTGGCGAAGTTCTGCTCGGTTGATGTTGTATTTCTGCATGTTGCGCATCTAGTGAAGTACGAGCTCTGATTGTGTTCCGTCGTCCACTTTGTTGTCTTTGTCGCCCGTAGAGGTACCGCGTCCGAGCAATGACGTGAAGTTCATCAC